AATTACAATAGCTCCTCTGTTCTGAGAAACACATCAGGTTCCACTGTCTCTTACCGCACTGTCAGAAGCCCTTAAGCAAATATTTAATGCTAAAGTTTAAGTTAAAATTAAATAGTGTATAAAATTACCAACACAACTAACTCCACTGAGGTGATAAATAGATAAATAGACATATGGCACATATAGCTAAATTTGCGCACATTAGGGCAAAGACAAGCACCAGTAAATCACTACATGGTGGCTGGCAGTTTCTGTTGATGTCAATTATATGACATATTTTAGCCTAGCTCTTGAGGCACAGGTGGCAGGGTAGGGCTCTGCAATTCTGGAAGCCATGTGGAAGATTGTAGGTTCAGATCTTGGGTCAATCTGAGCATACCAGATACATGTACATATACCTATGATCTTGTTGGGAGGCTGGAAGGGAATCATAGTATGATGAGACCTTATAGAGGATGCTTGTGTTTATTTGTTTCTCTCATATAGAATAATTGGAGGAAAGGGAGACATACTTTATTTTCAGAAAAAATTAAAATATAAAAAGACACATCTAGAAACTGAGAATAAAAAATAAATTCATAACTAAAATCTTCTTCTTTTTAGCTTTGTAATCTCTATCACCCTTAAGTTACAGGCTTTGAGATCAAGATATGTGATCATGGGGGCTGGCAGGTGGCAAGGTGGTTAAGGGTGCTGGACTCCCACATGGCTGGTTGTGGTTCAAGTCCCAGACCTGGTGGGACTTGAACTCGCTTTCTCATTTTCCCTCTCTCTCTCTCTCTCTAGACTCCCACATGGCTGGTTGCGGTTCAAGTACCAGACCTGGTGGCTTGCTTTCTCATTTTCCCTCTCTCTCTCTCGCTCTGTCCCTTTCTGATCAAATTAAAATAAGTAAGTAAATAAAGTTAAATAAAATAATTCTTGGAAAAAAAACCTTAAATTAAGGGAAAAAAAAAGGTATGTGATCATGTTGCTATTCTCTAAATAATGGATTTAACTTTTTTTTCCCTCAATAAGCTTACAGAGAATAATACTGAATATGTATTTAATCATTAATGGAAAAGGACCAATAGAACTTGAAATATATTATACAGAGAAGTCATGGAAAGAACATAAATGATCTATACATTGTTCTATAGAAAATAATATGGAAACTTCACACACAAGCAGCTCGAAAATCACACCAGAAGTGTGTATGCATGCTCAGAATCCTGAGAGGAGAACAGAGAACAAGGAACTGAGGTATGGCCATTCACTCAAGGGATGATTTCTCACTTTGCCTCTCTCTGTCTCGGCAGTGGGCACACACGCTCTGCTGCAAAGATCTGGGGAAAACATTTTCCTTTTTAGAACTATTTCATTAAAGTTTGTTCCCAAATTTAAACAATCTGTTTGACCTAAAAAAATGGTAGAAAAATCTGCCTGTCCAGGATTTTTTATTTATCGGATTCATGGCACAGATGTAGTTAGTTGAAGAAATCATGCAATAAGCAACCTAGAAGAAATGTGTTGTATTTGGGCACTTCTATATACTATTGGTGGAAAGCAATTTGGCAATATGCAGTGAGACCTTTAAAAATATTTAAATCCTTTGACTCAAGAGTTCTATTTCTGGGAATCTATTCCAAAGAAATCATCTGTAACTTACACAGAGATCTTCTAAGTATTACTTATAGTGAAAAATGGAAAGCAACCTAATTTGTCAAACAATAAATGATTTAAAAAGCATTTATAGAATAATACAGTCATTTTAGAGTATTTGCCAAAAATGTCTTTTAGTTTTCTTATTTTTCTGATATTGTTTTTAAGTAACATGTGTTCCTGTAAAATACAGTTCAAAAAACAAAAATGAAAACTAGAAATACTCTCATTCTCTTATATTATATCCTCAACTCCTAAAGCTATCACCACTGTTAAGTGTGTGTGTGTGTGTGTGTGTGTGTGTGTGTGTGTGTGTGTAAGCTTCTAAAAATTTACTGGGCATATACAAACTTATGTAACAAATATTTATCTTTTGTTTTGTCTTTAATACAAATAGAGTCAGACTACATATGTTGTTCTCCAGCTTGCTTCTTTCTTTTTTCTTTTAGAATTATTTTATTTAACTTCATTTATATTTATTTTCATTTTGATCAGAGAGGGACAGAATGAAATGGAAAGTGAGAAAGCAAGCGGCCAGGTCCAGGACTTGAACCATAGTCAGCCATGTGGGAGTCCAGCACCTCTAACCACCATGCAACCTGCCAGCCCACAGCTTGCTTCTTAAACTCGTATGTTGGCTATTGTTCCATCTCAGCATATATACCTCCACCCTATTCATTTCAGGTTTAAATCAACAGATATATAGGTTGTTTAGATTTTTCTGCTTAAACAATGCAGTAATTAACATATTTAGATATATAACTTTATGTACTAGTATGAATATGTCAGCTCCTGTAAGCAGAACTCCAACATTTTAGAAATCCAATGTTACAGCCAAATTGCCTACCAAAAATTGCACTGATATCCTCTCTACCTCTCCAAATCACTCTAAGCACAGGATACTACTAACTTTTAAATCGCTGCCAATCTGAAAGATATCCATTTTAATTAACACACCTATAATTATTAATAAAGTTAAGAACTTTTCTGCTACATGGTTCATCTTTTTCTTATAGGCTTAGAAGAGTCCTTAATATAGTCAGAAAATTAGCTGTTTGTTACATGTGTTATAAACATCTTTTATTGTTTATTACTATCTTTTTTAGAAGAATTATTTATTTAATTTTATTAATTCATTCATTTTCACTTGACTAGGCACACACACACACACACACACACACACACACACACCCACCCACCCACAGAGGGAAAGTGGGAAAGGATGCTACCTGGTCCATATTTGAACCGTGGTTGCCCATGTGGGCGTTTCCAGTACCTTAATCACCACACCACCTGCTGGTCCCCTAGTTTATTACCATCTTTTAACAGTGATTTTACTTTTCAACATCTAGCAAAAATTACTCTATTCATCCTATTAGAACTCTTGGATTTTGTATGTGCTTCAAAGATACTTGCCACCCCAAATTAAAAAATAGCAAGCATGTATTCTCTTCTATTCCTTTTTAAATTTCATTTTCATCGAGAGGTTTTAATGACTATCAGTTTGAAAGATATATACATAATTCACACAGTTGGAGCTCCATTAGATAAAATAGAAAAACTCTGGAAGGAAATAAAACATTGACAGTAATTATTGCAGAATGGCAAGACTCTATATGATTTTATTTTCTGTGCTTTCTAAATTTTCTAAACTGAATACAAATTAGTTTGATAACTAGAAGAAGGGTCAGCAAGTGACATGGTGGTTGGGGTGCTAGATTCTCACATAGCTAAATGTGGTTCTAGTCTTGGATTGAACAGCTTGAAAATCATGCTGGTGCATGTATGTGCATGCCCAAAATCCAGAAAGAGAGTGGAGGAGAAGGTATTATAGTATGGCCATACCCTGGGGGGATGATTTCTCACTTTCACTCTCACTGTCTTTTTCTGCTTCTCTGGTAAGCACATGTGCCCTATGGGAGAACAAAACAAAACAAAACCCCACACACAACTGGGAAAAGATAAAATTTATTAAAACCATCATCTGGTTTGGGACCAGCAGATGGCATAATGGTTATGTTGCTTGACTCCCATGTAGTTGACCATGGTTCGAGTCCCAGTCCAGTGATTTGAAATTTATGTGGGGTGATTGTGTTCATGCCCAAGATTGTGAAAGGAGTATGAAGGAGAAGAGACTGCAGTGTGGCCATCTGCCATAGAGGTGATTTCTCACTTTCTGTCTCTCTCTCCAGTGAGTGCACATTCCCTATAGCAAAAACCTCTCTCTCTCTCAAAAAAACAAATAAACGAAAAAACATGATATTTTCTTTCATTCTTATGTTTCTGATAGTACTGGCTTCAATTCTCAATCAATTATAATTTGAGTACTGGAGCTAGACTGAGTCTAATACTAAGACAAAGCTTTGTATTCTCTTTTAATTCTCTTGTCACAGATGAGATGACAGAAGAAAACCTTTTTTTTAAAGAGATTTTTGCTATAGTGTATGTGTGCCCATCAGAGACAAAAAGTGAGAAATCACCCCCCTCCCAGGGGTGATGGTCACACCACAGTCCCTTCTCCTCCATTCTGCTCTCGTGATTTTGGGAACACACGCACACAAGCCCGGTGTGAATTTAAGCTGCCAGGTCTGGGACTTGAACTACAGTCGACTACATGGGAGTCCAGTGATGTAACCATTATACCATCTACGGGTCCCCAGAAGAAAATCTTAAAGTAGCAGACCAGAGACCGCTAACAGCAAGAATTATAGCTCCATTTGGGAAGTTTTTTGAATGGTAATCACAATAATGCACCAAGTGCTTACAAATATTAATCCAGCAATTCTTCACAATATCTTTATGAAGCAGGCTTTATTACCTGGTCTTTCTTTTAATTTCTCTCTCACCTTTTTTTCAAGTTTATTTATTTCTTTTATGAGAAGAGAGACAGAAAGGGAAAAAGAGCTAGCACCCCAACAGGGTTCTCAAGCCACAATCTACTCTAAACCTTCAGCTAGTCCCAGATCATGGGCAAGCATGTGTACAGGGTACTCAGGGAGAACTCTGGACTTCAGCCAGAAACCTTTCCATGTGGGATGCCTGGCAGAGCATTGTTTTACCACTGCATCACTGTCTGACCCCAATCCAATTACTAACCCTTTCAATTTATTACTCTAAGTCTTTAAGGGCCACTTACTTGCTAAAGATGACAAAAGCGAATCTTAGACGAGAGGTTAGAAGTTAGTTACTGCGGCACCTTTAGGAGCTTAGTTTTAGAGGAAGGGAAAATGAGGAGCTAAGAATCCCAAGGAGATCACAAATAGGTAGAATAAATTTTCCTAAAGATAAGAAATAACAAAATATACTTGGTCTTAGCCAAAATGCTAAGGGAGAGAATAACAAAATAAACTTGTACTTACAACTTCAGACTCACGAGCTTTAGGAAACATTTTGGCAACATTGAGGCCATCAATGACAATATCAAAAGGAGGGCAGGATTTTACAAAGTTTTCAAATCTCTGAAGTTCCTAAAAGTGAAAGGTCAGACAAACATTAATAAGGACTTAATATAAGACTGTATTAGAAATACTTATTATTCCTTTGGTAACCCAAAATATTCACCCTTTACAAATATTAACATACATACATACACACAGATACTCACAAAAAAAAAAATCTGAAAAAGCCAGCCTAATGGTTGCACCTGCAAATAATTATCTGACAAATCCTGTAATCTCATTGTGCTTTACACTTAACAAAGTATGTTCATACACAATTTCATTTTATCTTTAGCCAATCTATCTAGACTGCTAAATTGACCCACAAAATAGTCATGATGAGAATATTGCTAAATATATATATATATATAAAATGCTGAAATATCTAAGTCCTGTTCTGTAAGCCAAGAAAAAGTGAACCTCAGATATCCCAGACTACCAGTGCAGCTGATGGAAGAACGAGGGTGTAACATTTTGGCTCCTGTTTTGCCAAGAGGCTTTTGTTTACTTACGGCTGTTTCAAAGAGTTGAAGATTCATCCAATCATTCATGCAACAAATATTTGTTGAGGACATACTACATGTCTAGCAGTTTACCAAAGAGACCAAAAACAAAAACAAAAAACCCTAACTTAAAGGAACTTAATGAGAGTACACACAAAATAAGCCAAATAAATAAGTAAATATTAAATAAATGTCATATGTGATGAGTGCTATGAAAAAAAAAAAAAGGAGAGGAAGAAGTTCCACTTCTGATAATGATGGAAAAGTTTGTATTGGAATACCAGATGATGATGTAAACTCTAGGTTAAAAAAAAAAAAATGACTACTTGACGGTACTAAAGGATGACTAAAGACAGGTAGAAATCGGAGTGGACATGGCATTTAAAAGTTTTAGTGGTTTTAAACCATGCCTGAAAATTCTTTCACATGCTTTCCCCTCAAAGGTGAAGTCTAATTCCCTCCACCTGAATACAGTCTCTCCTTTGTGACAGTCTCAGTGAATGGAATGTGGGAGAAATGATGCTATGAGATTTCTGAGAATAGAAAGTAAAAGACAAACACAGCTTCCACCTGGCTCTCACTCAGGAATCCAGTCATCGTGAGAAAGCCCAAACTGAGGTCAAATATAAGCGTTCTTCCAGACAATTCAACTGAGTCCCAGTCAACAGCCAACATCAACGATCAAACCATGATCATGACCAAGGGAGATTTCAAGATGATCCTAGCCTTCATTCAATTACAACAGTAAGATAGTAAGAACACCCAATCAAGTGCAGTCAACTCCCACAACTGTAAGAGATAACGATGACAATAATAATAGTATTAAATAATTGTTTTTGTCTTGTGCCATTACATTTGGGAAAATAAGGGAAAGAAGAGAATAGCATGAGGTAAAATTTGCCTGTACTTTTTGTTAGAGGGCATTATCCAAAGAGCATGGCCAGGGGAAGCAGCTGCAAACCAAGCAGAAAGTTTGATTTGAGGAATCAAATGACAGAATTTGGGGCTGCCAGAGGATGGGAAGTAATAGGAAGGAAACTTAGAAAGAAGCATATGGCAAAATTTGCATGTGTCTGCCCAAATCCTTGGTTAATATCTGATCTGTATGTGCATGGAGGAGATTCTACAAGTCCAGCAAAAAAACTAATAGCTGAGGGTGTAACAAAAGTAGTTAGGCACTAGGGAGAGGAAGCTGGATTCCATGTGGCCAACCAGGATTCAAGTGGTGGCCCTGGTGGCTTGAAAAACATGAATCCTTAGGCTGGCAGGTAGGATGGTGGTTAAGAGCACTGGACTCCCCCACATGGCTGACCGTGGTTAGAGTTCCAGACCTGGCAGTCTGCTTTTTCACTTTCTCTCTCTCTCATTCTGTCCCTCTCTGATCAAAGTAAAAGAAGGAAGGAAAGAAGGGAGGGGGGGAGGGAGGAAAGAAAGTTAAATAAAATAATTTAAAAAAAATTTATTTATTATCATCATAATCTTGTATTACACTGAATCGCATATAACTTTATAGTGTATTACATTTCTTTTTCCAGAGGGAATGCCATGCATGTCAGTCAATACAGAGACATTAAAATCTCCACTTCATCATTCAATATCTTTTCATTGTTTTTGCTGATCATTATTATTATTATTCCAATTTTTTTTTTAACCAGTCAATCACTATTTCTCATTTTGCTTGTAAAAGACTATACCCAACATGAAATGCTTCTCAGAATACTATACACGTCATCATCAACAGGTAATAAACCATATCTGTGTTCTACTAATGTTATGCCTCTCTATTTGTTCTCTTGCTATCTTTCTCTATTCTCTTCTCTTCCCCCCTCCCATTCCACACTGTCTTATTCTCGTTAAGTATTTTCACTGTTTTTATGTCCTCCAATATTTCACTTTACCATAGAGTGTGGACAGTCAGTATATATTAAGTGGATACATACAATATCTTTCTTTCATAGCCTGGCTTACTTTATTCAGCAATAGATCCTCCATATCAGACCACTTTCTATCAAATACCAGGGTCTTGTTATTTTTTTTTATGACTGAGTAGTACTCCATAGAGTATGTATGCCACACTTTTTCAATCCATTCATCAGTTTGTGGACATTTAGGTTGGTTCCATGTCTTGGCAATTGTGAATAATGCTGCAATAAACATTGATGTGCAAGCACTTTTCCGACTGAGCGTTCTCCTGTCCTTTGGGTAGATACCCAGAAGTGGGATTGCTGGATCAAATGGTAGTTCTATTTGTAGATCTTTGAGGAACCTCCATATTGTTCTCCACAGCGGCTGAACCAGTTTACATTCCCACCAACAGTGTAGGAGAGTTCCCTTTTAGAAATCACCCCCCAGGGGGATGGTCACGCCGCAATCCCTTCTCCATTCTCCTCTTGGGATCTTGGGCATGCACGCACATGTGCCCGGCGTTGAGTTCTAAGTCACCGGGTCCGGGATACGAACCGCGGTCGACTATGTGGGAATCCAGCGACATAGCCATTACGCTTACTGCTGGTTCCCACAATAAAATAATTCTTAAAAAAAAAAATTAAAACATGAATCCTGAAAGAATAGGGAATTAGAGGAAAAAGGATTGTGGCATGACTATGTCCTCTTGAGGGTTGCTTCCTCTTTCTCTTCTCACTCTTATGTGTGTACATACGCTCACTGACATAAACAAACAAACACACACTCTCCCAAGAACTTAAAGACCTAGACAGAGATTTAAGCTACTATTCAATGTAAGGGAAACAGCTTAGAGTCTAAGTCTAACCAAGTTTAATAGCTTGTTAAAGCAAAAACTCAATTATCTCCAGAAGAAGATGACAAAATCCAGAGCCTTTGTAATGTGTCATCCATAATGTCCAATATAAAATTAAAAACTAATAAACATGAGAAGAAATAGGGAATTGTAACGTACATTCGAGAGAAAAAGAGTCAACAGAAACCAATTCAAGGTCCAGATGCTGGAGTTAGTAGCAAGACCTTTAAAAAAACTATTATAAATATAATTAAGAATTTAAAGGAGGGACCAGCTGGTGGTGTGGTGGGTAAGGTGCTGGACACTCCCATATGGTCGACCATGGTTCAAGTCCCAGACCTGATGGCTTCCTTTCTCACTTTCCCTCTCTCTCTCTGCCTCTCTTTGATCAAATTAAAATAAATGAACAAATAAGTAAAATTAAATAATTCTTTAAAAAAAGAATTTAAAGGAAAATAAAGTCATAATGAATGTAAAACAGGAAATCTCCACTGAGAATGTAAAGTATAAAAATAACATTCTACTGGGGCCAGCAGGTGGTGTAGTGGCTGGACTTCCCACATGGCCAACTGCAGTTTGAGGACCTGACCCACTGGCTTGCTTTCTCACTTTCTCTCTCCCCCCTTTCTCTGGTCAAATATAAATAATAATAGTAACGAAAAAATTTAAATAATTCTTAAAAATAATATTCTACAATAAAAAAGCATGAATTTAAAATAAAATATTCACAGAATGTATTTAATAACAAAGAAAGATAAAAGAAAAACTTGGGCCGGTTTCATGGCCTTGTGTTTAAGACAGCCAAATTCCACACGGCTGACTACACAGTTCCACTCCCAGACTCCGTGGCTTGAGACATACAGTGTGTGTGTCTGTGTGTGTGTGTGTGTGTGTGTACATGTGCGCACATGTGTGTGCACGTATGCCTAAAATCCCAAAAGAAGAAATGGAGAGGGGAATATATATATGCATTTTTTCAAAGAATTATTTTATTTTATTTATCACCATTATTGTCTTTTTTTTTTTTTTTTGGAGAGGTTTTTGCTATAGGGTGCATGCGCTTGCCAGAAAGACAGAGAGACAGAAAGCGAGAAATCACCCCTGGGGGAGGCGGGGGGATGGCCACGCCGCAATCCCTTCTCCTCCATTCTCCTCTTGGGATCTTGGGCAAACACACACATGCGCCCAGCGTGAGTTTAAGCCACCAGGTCCAGGACTTGAACCATGGTTGACTACATGGGAGTCCAGCAACATAGCCATTATGCTAACTGCTGGTCCCATCATTATTGTCTTTTGTTAGTTACAGGGCTCACCAGCGTCGCCATGTCCAAGACTCAAACCATGGCTGGCCATGTGGGAACCCAGTGCCTTAATCACCATGCCACCTGCTGGTTCCCCCCAAAAATACATGTGTACTTTTATTTCATTGCCATATCTATATCTTTTTTCATTTCAGAGGGCATGTGCATGCACCAGAATGAGGAAGGAAAACACACATACGCACACACACACACAAACAAACCTAGACTGCATGGCCTACTACATAACAAGGTGCTATGGTATAGCCTAACTTGCTCCTCAGGGATCACTATCAGAGGCGTGGTATGATGTTGAACAAAATGTCATTTTGGGTGTATGGTTTTATATATCTTTACACAAACATCCACTCATATGCATGCTTTCATTTTTCACTTGACTTCATGAGCTAATCTATCTCTGCCAATCTGAGTTGGTAGGAACCATCTTTTTTCCTTTCTACTTAGCAAAAC